CATTGTATGTATATTGTAAATTTAGTGGAAATTTTAAAAATGCCTAGACGTGTGTTAGATGTAGATAGTCTAATTTGTAGTGTACATAAGTATTTTACGGATAAAAAAGAAAATGGCGGTCCTTTAAAATCTGTAATGTCTGTACAACAACGCGTATGCGATGCTCTAGGAATTAGTGAAACCAAATTAAGAGAGTATTACAAAATAACAATAGTGAACTGCCGAAAGAAGATCACCGCAAAACTCGCCTATCATTGAAAACGAAAGATATTCCAGATGGAAAGAAATTTGAAATTCGTGATAACATTTATCGAATGAGGGCCAACAAGGAACATGTGACCTTAAATACAATTCTCTAGGAATTAATAGATAGAAAATTTGATGACATTGGCAGAACAAGTCTATGGCAAGTGATACGTAACTTGGGTTTCAAATTTCAAAAGGAGGATAACAGAAAGGCCCTTTGTAAAAGAAGTTCTATCGTGCACAAGAGAATTAACTTCCTAAGAAAATATTCTAAATTTAAAGAAGAAGGGGCGAATTTTATATATTTAGACGAAACATGGATATTTTCTAGAGGTGCAACCAAGAGAATATGGCAAAATGATAACGTAAAGTCCATCAAACATACCGATGGAGAAGGGAAGCGACGCATAATTTTACATGCAGGAGGGAAATCGGGTTTTTATAGAAGGTGCTGATTTAATATTTACATCTAAATCAAAATCCAGTGACTATCACGATAATATGAACACAGAAATGTTTGTAAAATGGTTGCATGAAAAACTTCTCCCAGGTTTAAGTGAGCCCAGCGTAATTATTTTAGACAATGCACCTTACCATTCTGAAGTATTAAACAAAAGTCCAACAAATTCTTGAACTGTTGATAAAATTAAAGAATAGTTGACAAAAGAACATATATATATTAAAATCAGAATTATTACGCTTGGCAAATATACACGCAAAACCAAAAACATTTGTTGTGGATTAGATTTTTGAAAGTTACGGTCATCAAGTTTTACGTCTGCCACCGTATCATTGCCAGTTTAATCCCATCGAATATATATGGGGAATAGCAAAACAATATTATGACAACCATATTGGGCCTAATGGTTATAGTGACGACGCAGTTCGGGACACTTGGCGAAAAGCACTTTCAATTGCAACTCCAGAAGTGTGGCGGAACTGTATATCCAAGTGCGAGAAACTAATAGAAGATTGGTGGACTCATGAAAATAAAATAAACGAAATAAGTCCAATCATAATAACAATTAATGGTGATGACAGTGATGATGATGACGATTATGATATTTTGGATGATAATGACTGATTTTCATTTTTGTTGGCAAGTTCAATTTTTTTTATTTTCATTTGAAATTCTCTACATGGAACAAATTTTTATGTTAGATAATATTTTATTTGATCTAAATAACCCTCTTATTAAGTGTAATATAAAATTATTATTAGGTTTATAATAGCCACATTAGACTCCATTAATGAAGAAGTTTAATTCTGTTCTCAATTATACAAAAGATTCTCCATTATTATTTAATTTAAAAGTTGTACATTATTTTTCATTTCATTTAACCAGTTGATATTTCCCCAAAGAACAGGTTAAACTTTCGGGTACTTACCTGGAAATACTCATAAAATTTTTAATCCGAAACCCGCGTAAGTATAGCGAACAGACTGTATGTCGGCATATTCTTCATTAGAAAACAGCACAGGCATGTTGCAAATTTAAATTTATCACAAACAGAAAACGTATTTGACAAGTTTAGGACTAACTAGTCAACTGACGTTTGTAATTGTTGATAAAGAAACAACCAAAAACATGGTATAATACATTAATTTATCTTCTTATCTTTGAATGCTTGTAGCTGAGTAACCATGGAGAATTGGATAGGTATTTGTTTTTGCTTGAAATGAGCTCAGGAATATAATATTTAAGTTTGTACAATTCAGCATGCAACACCATGTGCAATAAACATTACTAACAACAAATACATATATTATATAAACATTAAACGTACTAAAAATTTGAAAGTTAATGGACAATTAAAGAATGGATGTTTTCTGTATTTTGTGTTAATAAAATGTTCCTACTACATTTTCAGTTTTTTATGTTGTATCTAATATATAATTATACCCTTTTTGTCCAACTGTTTTATTCACTGTGGTAGTTTGTAATAGAGGATGACCATATTTCATTATTTGACCCAATGCTGGACGCTGAACCAACATTGATGAACTTTGGAGAGACAAGGACCTTTTTTTAGCTCCAAAAAATAAAAATATAACATTATAACATGTAGAGAACCGGAGAACTTTTTTAGCCCCTCAAAGATACAAATACAACATTACAACAACTAATGGGACGTTTTCTAAATAAAATTTGTGAGAATTGATTGGTTCTTGTGTTGTGAGTCACTGTAGTTTTCAAAAAAGGAAAGTTGGATGTAGTCACTTTTTCGTTTGGCCAACTTTGCTTTTTTGACATCCACTCCCAGCACAATCAATTAAAATTTAATTGAAAATTTGTTTAGTCGACTTTATTATCAAATAATTCCCAGACAGCACACCAAATCCTTTGGATATCTACTGAACATCCCAATATCCACTGAATGTCCAGTCCATGGTGGATATCTATTTTATATCCATAAAATGTAATTTATAGACATGCAAATGTCCATAAATAATAGTAATTATATAGCAAATTATTAAAAAACTACGCCATTGTGCTCGCCATTGTGGCTAATAGTACCGTTCAGATATTTAAAATTAATTTTTTTAAGGTGTATTCAATATCCCATGGACATCCACATATATCAAAGTCTTAGCGCGGACGCAAACCATCGTGGATAACTACTAGATGTAATTTTTGATTTTGCTTCCTAAGTATAGATGGCGATACCACTTTCGTATCTACTCATGCTCAACCCGCCATAATTGAGTTGATCGAACATTTTTTCGCATTAAGACTCTATTAGAGATTGGAGTCGAGAATTTCCATTTATTGCTGAAGAGTCCTAATAAGGATGACTTTTTCCTTAGTGGGCAAACTCAAAGACAGATTGTTGGAAATATTTTTTATCTCTATTTTCTTTCGACGTTATCATTCATTTGGTTACTTATGAATGTCTACTAAAGATACCTATAAAATATTTTGCTGAATATCTGAATTCTATATCCTGGGATATAGACGGACATTTGGTTGGATATCCATATTTGGATATTGGATATCCACAAAATATATTCTGTGGATATCTCTGGGATTTCTTGTATTGTCTGGAAGATACTAATTAGATATTTTGCTGAATATCCATAGGATATCTTCTATATTCTGGATATAGACGGACATTTGGATATCCATATTAGATCCACGGAATATTTCTGATATCCTGTGGATATATTGGATATCCACAAAAGATATTCTGTGGATATCTTTGGGATTTGGTGTGTTGTCTGGGTTAACCCTATCAAGCAATCAATTCTAACCTTTTTTTTTTCGAAAACTGTTAATTCGTCGTTAAAACTCAGCCATAACGCAAGTTTCCATAGATAGATCTAATCTTCACTTTTTTTTTTCGAGATTTAGAAATTGGTAGTGATGTAGTTACCGGATCCAGCAAAATTTTGAAAGTGGTCTATGAAACAGAAGAGTTTGGGAACCTCTGGTTTAGCTGGACAAATGCGACATTTTGCTGTACATTTGCTGTACAAGATCCAATAATGGACAGACTTTGAAATATAGCGAAATAAAGGGCGCAAAAACAGTGCGAGAAGAGAAAAAAAAGTGCACAAAAATGCCGAGGAGAGAGACCAACCTCTCAAATATGGTCATCTTCAATGAGAAAAGAGTAGATTAGTACGTATGGTCACCCTATAAATAGCATTTTAGTTTTTGTCTTGTATTATTATTATAATTTAAATATTTATTTTTTGATCTGTGTTTATAAACAACTAACTTGTAAAAATATATCTGTTTTATATCTAATTATTAAGATTCTCGATATAAATTATCTGTTTGATAAAGAATGGGTTTATTTAATATTTGTTTTTTGCAAAATATCGAGTTTTTTCAGGGGAGTATCTGCGATTCCCCCCAACCCATAATATGAGAAGCGAGATTCTACTAAAACAGAATACATTATTATACTCTTTACACATTAGTCTGTGAAGAGTATTATAGGCAGTGGAGGCTGTGCACCAAAATTTTGGGGGTTCTAAATGATAGAATATAGATTTCAATACAGATTTAGGTAAACAATTATCAGTGTTTTAGAAAGGTATATTTTATAAACACTGAAAGTTTTTTTACCTAAATCTATACTGAGACCTATAATGTCATTATGAACCCACAGTATTTTGTTCCAGATCCGCCACTGATTATCGGTTGATTTTCGAGAAACCAAAATTTTTATTAGCGATACAAATTTAAAACTTTATATCAAAATCCTTTTAAACAACTTTTAAAAAATGACAATTTGAAATTTTCAGACAAATCAAGATAAGGGAACGAAGCCTATGAAAAAAATAAGGGGTAAGGGTGGGTTGAAATATAATAAAAAATCATAAATCGAAAACGAAAAACGATATCAATATGAAATGTTTAGTAAACATCAAGCTCTATAAGGGGTCGAAGCAAAGTGATTTTGAAAAATTCTGTATAAAAATTGGGTGTTAAGGAGGGGGTTGCAATTTATAGTAAAAAGCAAGCTCTATAAAAATAAGGTGGTTAAGGAGGTTTGAAATATAAAAAAAAATCCTAACTCAGAAACAAAAAAACGATATCAACTTAAAAATCTGCTTCAAATTGGGGGGGTTAAGGGGGGTCTGTTAAATTGTAAAGAGTATAATATAGAATGCTAAGCATTATACATATATCTTCATTTTTTTAACTATTCTAATCCAGTGTTTACGTTTCTTTGTGAGCCAAATAAAAACTACTATATTTTTTAGTATTATTAGTATTATTTATTACTTTTTTAAATACTAACCTGATTACTTTGTGCAATTTCCAAATTTGAACTACCATTAACTACATTTGGCGGGTTGGCATTATTTTCTGGCATGTTGAATTACTGAAGTGTTAAGTAAACTATTAAAAAAAAACACTCACAAATGAATACACAACATAATAGTTTATTATTTTTTATATTACAATTGGGCTGAAAGGAATAGAAACAGCGTAATGTTCGTCCTACCGCACCGGTAAATTTCGCGGTTTGCAGGTGGATCGCGCGCGGGCGTATTTCACGTATTTGACCTCACTACGGCACTGATAAGATTGAATTGAATCGTGAATCGTGGAATCAGAATCAAACATTCCGTCGTCACTCCGACATCGCTACTAAAAAGAACTCAGGTGGGGTTTGAATACCAACTCCATCGACGACATGGGAAAGCATTGTGTGTGAAGGTAATGAAATTACAGTTGATTGAGATTTAAATTAAAAACAGCATTGGCATTTCAATACACCAAACGAATTCCTTAGAAACCATCACTTCATTCAAAAATGCTCCGAACGCTTAGGGCTAGGGAATAGTTTGTTTGTGCAACAAGAGTAGGTATGATAGCCATATCCCACGAAGACGAAATTTGAGCACGACGCCGATAGTGGAGTTCTTAATCGTCTGAGTGCGATATGGAAATTATGAACAATCCACTCGACTTGTACAGTATATTTTTTCAGCGACCCACTAACGAAAATCTACAAATTTAAAAAAATATTTTGGTTATTAAGACAAAATACCTAATTTTAAAATAATTATGAATTTTACTTATTTATAAAATAAAAGATTTAATTTAATTACATGGAAGACAGATGCCGTATCCTCATTCCACCTCCACATTTACGATTTTAGTTTTAATGCTCGTGATGAAATTAGTTTCATATAGTTTAATTCAAATTTAAGATTTTTTCAAAATGGTTACCAAATAAAAATAAAAAGGATCTTATTTATCGATTCTACACAAAAATAACTCATTTTAATATATATTTAATCTCAATAACTAAAAAATATTAAAAAAAATTAGTTTGACAGAATTGTAACTCATTTAAAATTTTAAAAATAATAGTAGTTGGGTATCCAGAATATGAACTGTGATTGGTGGTTGGTGGATTTAATTTTTTTGCAGTGTTCTCACTACCTAGAATGGATATGAAATATATTCGTTCAGATGAAAGCAAAAGCATACTTTTTCATTTTGCAGTCTGTGTGAAGATAAGCCAATATTCACTTTTTGTTATCTTTTCATTTGACGAGCTGTCGTCAACATACGCTACTATTCAATCTAATGGAAATACGTTTATATCATATCATCATCAACATGTCTCTTACTCAACCTCTCCAAAGTAGTCGAAAGATTATTATGACACTATGTTTTGTGTAATAGAAGTAGGTCGGATGTTTATTATCACGGTAGGTGAGAAATAATGGTACATAATTGAAGTTTGACGAATAATATGTGAAATTATTTGAAGGTAAAGGTGTGTTTATTAACAGATATAACAAATAGTGCCTGCACAATAAACTTTTCATTGTTTGTTTTTTTTATTTTATGTATATTTTTTTACAAAACAACGAGTTAAGTAAATTAGTGAAGTTTTTATAATTTACCTAACCTGTGCGGCCTGGAGCCATCACAGTTTGTTTAACAGAGAAGAATACATAAAATAAGAAAAATAAAGAAACTTATTTAATAATTTCGTAATACGAGTATCTGTATCTGTAACGTGTGGAGGGTGGGTCACCCCCACGGCACTTAAGCCTCATTAGACCCATTGTGCATCCTCCTAAGATGATAGGCACATATTTGATGTAGTTGATAATGTCGCCAAGAGGTGCTTCTCTTATATCGACCGGTGTTAGCCGATACTCGCCGAACACAAATCTTCTAATAAATCAGAGCGTCGAGCATTCCTAGAGGATATGATCGATGATCTCATCTTCTTATTCGCACCCTTTGCAGAGTGCGGATTCTGACCGCCCCATGATATGGAGATGCTTCGGTACTTGGCAATGACCAGTCAGAATGCCTGTGACTAGGCGCAGATTCTGTCTAGTCATAGTCAAGTATTTGTTTGCTGCAGTGTTGTCAGGATAACTTAGAAGCTTCCTAGCAACTCTGCAGTTTCTTGTTTCATCCCATCTTTCCTTGAATTTCACAAGGGAATGTTCTTTAATAAGGTCTGTCAGTACCGATTTTGTCAGGTCAATGAAAGGGCCAGGTCCAAAAAGTATTTGGTTGGCTGCTTTCTTGGCCAGTGAATCAGCAAGACGGTTACCTTTCGATGTGGCGTGATCTTTGATCCATCTTAAGATGACCACGTTGTTAATGGATACTTCGGCCAAAATTTCGTGAGTACTAACCCTGAATAAATTCGTGGTCTCTTCAGGGCGAGTAGTGCTTGTCTGCTATCTGTATAGATGAGCATGTTTCTTCCAGTGATATTATTTCTGGTAATTTCTTTTGTTGCTATGAGAATCCCGGGTGACCTCTGTTTGAACTATACTAGCACTACTGCTCACAGTCCATTTTATGTTAAGGTTTAAGGATCTGGAGTATATTCCACATCCTGAGCCTTGTTTTGTTTTAGAACCGTCGGTGTAGATATGAATCGTACCTGCCACTTCCGGCTCTTCTATTTCTTCTGTTACAACTTTTTATGGGCTTATGGAAGATATATATCGGTGAGATGGAGTCCATGTTCGCTTGAAGCAGTGGGAGCGTATCGAGTGCCTCCTGCCAAAAGCCACGTCTCGCCTCACCAGATCCTACATCAGGTTCTATTCCAACCGTACGGAGGCGTGCCATTGTCGTCAGAGCAACCTCCTTGATGTAAATATCAAGGGGAGTGAGACTAAGAATGACTTCCACGGCTCTGGTCGATGTTGTTTTCATGGCTCCTGTTATGTTGAGACATGCTGTTCTTTGAATTTGTTCTAGTTTACGGATAGCTGTCAATTTTTGGGTTTTCGATACCCAGACAACTGCACCGTATGTTAGCATAGGTCTTATGATAGCAGTGTAAGTCCATGCGACGACTCTGGGGGGGAGAAAACCCAGGCGCGCCCCACATTTCGGCACTGTCCATAAGCAATGTATGCTCTTTTGACTCTGTTTTCTAAGTGCGAGGTCCATGTTAACTTGCTGTCAAAGGTTGAGACCTAAGTACTTCACCTCTGTTGCAAAGTATAGTTTTGTGTTTAGAAGTTTTTAATTCTATTGTCATCCTTTTCCTTGTGAAAAGGACCATTTCAGTCTTCTTAGGATTGATAGACAGTGAATGATCCTTACACCACTGTTCTATAATTTTGAGAGCTACTTGCATTCTTTCGCAGAGTATGTTCTCAAAATTCCTTGTTTGCAGAATGACCAGGTCATCTGCATATGCTATTGTGTAGTCACTGTCAATATTGAGGGTGTCGAGGACCATGTTCCACAGTAGAGGTGATAGCACTCCTCCCTGTGGACATCCCCTAGCAACCAAGCTTCTTATATTCACATCTTCTACACTTATGTTTACTGCTCGCTTTGAGAGCATGTTATGTATCTACCCACTAACCATCTGTGGAACATTTCTATTGGTTAGTGAGTGTATTATCTTGGGGAAGGTGGTTTTATCAAAAGCACCTTCTATGTCTATGAAAACACCCAAGGCGGACTCCTTATTGTCCAGGGATTTCTCTATCCGGCCAGCAACTAGATGAAGGGCTGAATCAGTAGATCTGCCTGGGGTGTATGCATGTTGGTTTGGGTGTAGTGGTGTTGTTGTAATTACCGCATCCCTTATGTACCTTTCGCATAGCCTTTCCAATGTCTTCATGGAAACGATGTCAGACTAATTGGTTGGTATGTTTTTGGGACAGTATAATCCATCCTTCCAGGTTTGGGTATGCATACTTTTACCTCTCTCCATTTTTTGGGGATATACCTCAGAGCTAACGCGGCTCTGAAATATACCCACCAGGTGCTGTGTGAGTTCTTCCGGACCCCACTGAAGTAGGGCTGGATAGATACCGTCAGGTCCTGGCGATTTAAATGGAGAAAAGCTGGATATTGCTCTTATAATTTTTTTATCGTCTACAATGTGTGTGGCAGTTTGCCAATATTAGAGAGGTGGGTTGTATTCTTGATCTTCCCAGTCGGTCACGCCTGTGATGACCGAGTCAGAAAAGTGTGTTGACAGCAGAAGCTTGATGCTATTTTCGAGGTTGGCAGTTTTCGTGCCATCCTTTTTGATTAGCGCACCAATGCCTCAGTGTGAATCTTTTGAGAGAGCTTTTTGAAGCCTCGCTGCCTGCGGGAAATCTTCGATATTCATGCATCTCTCTGTTTTTGTCTGACGATTTTTTTGTATTCACTGAGGTGAGATTTGTAGATATCCCAGTCCTCTTTGAGTTTTGTGGTTCTTGCCATAATACGAGTATAATGCTTTCGATCATATACCATTTCGATCAAATGTATATAATTTCGATCATTAGTACTTTAAAACAAATGTGTTTTTCGAACATATCTGATTTCGATAATTTGTAATTTCGATCATATGCCATTTCGATTATTTGTTTCGATTTTTTTGTTTCTCATTTTCGAGCTTTTGTAGTCTCGAACTTGTGTCATTCAAACTTTTGTACTTTCGAAAAATTTTCCAATTGAACTTTTATCCAACTTATTTTCAAAACTTATCTCAGACATAAGGTACATGAGTTAAAAACTTCCACACAAGTTCGTCTTCCCAGCAGTAGGCTTTGCAGATTTTTTCCTTTAAAAACTTGCCAGTATGAGCCTTTGATGCTGAATCCCGACTGTCTGTATACTGGGTGAATCATCGAATTTGTCATTGCCGATGTAGGTACACCAATGTTTTTGTAAAAAAAAATGAATATTGTTTTTAAAACTACAAATCATAATAAACTAACTCTCTTTTACTATTTTTCATTTAAGTATTGTAATTGAATCTTAAATATAATATTGATGAAAATACTTCTTTAATGTCCAATTATACAGGGTTATTCAAAAGGTAAATACAAGAAGTATTTCAATTCTAACTAATCAATAAAATACATTAGTTTTATTATCAATGTTTTTAATAAAGATATATGATCAGTGACAAGTGTGGTATATACAGGGTTGGGCATAATTGGCGGAACACCCGATTTGTGGCTCAATTATGGATTGTATTGAAAATTAACCCAAATAAAGTTTTTTGTATATTTTATGTACTATTTAATGACGCTTGGGGATTTTCATTATCTGTCATATTTATCAAGATATGACGTCATCGGATGAAATTTTAAATGAATCACCCTATATTTATATTTCTTTTCAGATAGATCTTTTTTTTCTGAATCCATCAATATGGGGTTCGGGTGGTCTCTGATTTTCCTTATCATCAGAAAATAATAAAACAAAATGGTAAACGTTCTTTTAAATAATTAATGAATAACTATTCACAAAGTTGTCTGTGCCATCATAATGTACCAATATCAATTGTTTTGCCATGGTTTCACTTTTTGACATTAAAATGTAATATTGACATCTCGATATTAATCACTGAGTTTTATTAATACGATTATTGTACATCTCTGACAGAAATACCTACCAATGTTTTTGTGTTACTGTTTACTTGGTTTTTATAATATTATAAAAACTATTGTCACCTTTTATTAATCTGTAGATTTTAATT